ATTAATATAAAAAATTATACTTATTAAATAATTTATAAGTTCTTTTATGATTGAATAAGAAAAATTAATAGATTTATTAAAAACAGATATCTATCATAAAATATGTGCCACCAATAAAATTCAAAGGAACAAATTTACTTAGAGTATAGTACTATAATTAATTTTGTAATAATATTTAGATAAAAAAATTTTATAGAACAAAAGTGCAATACTATTAAAAAAATTGACATATAGTAATTATTTTAATTAGAATTTAATGAGATTTAAGCGCTGAATATATATGTAACACTAAAATATACCATTGTAATTCCATTCCTTGAAATTATACACTAAAAATTTCTTCAAAGAAATTATTATTATAAAATAATATTTTATTTGAAATTTTAATGCTTATTGTACATGTAACAACTCGATTTATTAAAATAATAATTTTCTTCTTTTTTTAAAAATAATTTTTAATATTATTGTAATATAATTTTTTAGGTTATACTTATTTTAATGAATTAACGTTCTGATAAATACGTTAAAATGATTAAATAAATAAATTCTTATTCTTATTCTCTCGATTTGTTACATTGCATGTATTTTTCTTTTTAGAAATTGCACGAATTCGTTCTTGCAAATGATCGAACTTGCACGAACTTTATTTTTTTGTATGATAATAGGATGTTTTGATAAGTTATTGTTTATATAACGAATTATTGCATAATAACATTAAAACAAAAATATTTTTATGATAATGAATATATACACATATACATACATATGTATATATATTGTATTTTGTTTTTTAAACTGCATAAAATTATTAGAATACATTCAATATTCAAAGTTCCATATTTTACAATAAAATCATAAAATAACATTATATAAAACATTATATATAATGTTATTTTGATATTTTTTAAAACTATGAAATTTGAAAGAAAGAATCTATCACAAAAAGATTTTTTGTTAGCTTAGATGAGAAAATTAATCAAGAAATGAAAATCTATAATAATTTTATTTACAAAAATTTGAATATTATAGTATTTATTTATTTATTTATTTATTTAATATGCATATTTATTCATATTTTATAATATATATATATATATATATATATATATATATATAATATTTTATATATATATAAATAATTTACAAATATTTATTAAACTAAATTTTTTATAAATTTCCTTTATGGTTATATATTATTCTATTATAATGTCTTAATAATCCGCTTTTATTCAAAATTCAAAAAATTGTATAAAATAGGAATATCTATTGTAAGAATATTATGTAACAATATTGGAATATAATAATATATAATAAGTAAGTATTTAATTATTATATATGTGTTTTTTGGATAAATTTGTTCAGTTTTTAAAAAATTCTCTTCATTTGGCAATTAAAATTTTAAATGTATATTTAATATTATCCTGCTCTTCAAAGAGTATAATTTTGTTCATTGTTTCTGATTTTTTTTATATTAAATTAATAATAATAGTAATAATTAAGTAAATAAATAGCTTGTATATTTTTAAATCGAACATACTACATTCATAATAATAAGGCAATTATTAATCTAATACTTACCTTGGAATACAATTCTAATATATATTTTCAATGGATACATTACATCTTTTAATGGTAATAAAATAATAGTATATAAGGTTAGTAAAGTGCCAAAACTTTTATTGAAAAAAATTATCTATTCTAAACTACTCAAAATTTTTATAACATAAATGTATGTATATTAAATGTAATTAAAATGAATTTTTCTATTTAAAGTACTTTAATCTTAAGTACTTTGATCTGGCCAAGATTTTATATTTTTTGAATAAAATATGTATATAATTATTTTTTTGTTATAATTGTAAGTAAAAAAGAGAAATTATACTTATAATTCATATATTTTTCAAAATTATTAAAAAAATATTGTATTTATTGTTTGATTTAAAACATCAAACTCAAAGATTCAAAATATTCTTAGTAATAATAATCAAAATGTTTAGTCAAAAATTTATAATAAAAACATTTATCATGTATTCTTTTCTTTTTATATAAAAAAATAATAATATTGAAATGATGAAAAATTTTATAATTTTTTTTTACATTTATTTTTTAATTTTATATTAGTTATCAATTATAATTAATATACTTCAAAAATTTCTTTTTCAATAAAAAAAAATTTTGTCTGAAATTAAAAAACAAAATATATTAATTAAAAAAAAAATATTGTTTGTGAAATTACAAAAAAAGTAATTGAAAAAATACTTAGCAAAATACAATAATTATATTACTTACCAAAATATGTTTGTTATATTTTGTTATGTACAGATTTTTACGAAACTTGTAAATATAATAGTCTTGATCTTGCATAATATAATATTATTTAATAAACGTAACGATCAATTGATTTTTTTTATCTACACAGCTACGGATTAAAGATTATCTGACTGGATTAAAGCGCGACGAAATCTTTTGATCAATTTTTTCTTATTTAATTGTTCTTGAGATTTAATGGTTCACTACACAATTTACATAAATCTAATTTTGAAGATATCGCTATTATTTAATAGTAGCTAATTATTTGATATCAAAAAATTTTTTTTTACATTTATTTTTTAATTTTATATTAGTTATCAATTATTATTTTTAATCTTAATTATTACATTTGACTAATATAAACTCAATTATAATTTTTTAATTTTATTTTAAATTTCAGTTTAAATTTAATCTATTTATTATTTTAATTGCTATGGATTATATTTTAAAATATAAATATTTAAATTTATGAATAAATGAAATATATTTTTAACGTGATAAAACAAATTTCTTTTTGCAGAAGTTCATAGACAAATATTTGATTCTTAGAGATTAAATTCTTTAATTTTATTTAATATATAATATAATGTATGGATTGATATTCTATTAGTATTTATAGATTTATTGGGTTCGTTTTTTAATTCTTTAAATAGTGCATGAAATTTTCTGAATCTTATTTTTTAAACAAATATATCATTTATTTGTTTTTTTCATTTTATTTAAGCGTAAAAATTTCAAAAATGGATTTTTTAAGAAACATCAATATTATTTATTATGAATGTCATGTACAAACTAACATTTTGTCAGTTGTTTCAGAATTTTTATAATTATAATGAATTTGTTAAAACATGTATTCAGTGTAATCGCTTGTTGCATTTATCCGATGACTTCCAATTTATTCATTAGAATGTTAGTTTGTCAAGAAAATCCATTATAATCATAGTTTTAAGTTTCAATAATAAGTTTATACAATTGTATGATTCAAAACGTAACTTAAATAAACAATTTAAAAATTAATAACTTTAATCAATTTCATATTTTTTTAAATCATATTTGTGTGTATATATATATATATATATATATATATTTTTTTTTTCTTATAAACTAAAACGAAACAAATATTTCCAAAATAACATGCCTTAATTTAAAAATTAATAATAATTAATAATAAATGTAGAACAAAACAGCATCAGCAGTTCTTTTTTTTTTACACAAGCAATAAACAGTAATAACAATAACAAACACTCAACAGATGATGTCACATTCAAACAAGACTTAAAGATGAACTTCATTCCTTTTTTTTTAGCTTAGCAAGCAATCTTATTTATTTTGGTATTCGATAAAATTCGATAATCATATGTTACAATATTGAGCCAGTTTGTAAAACTGCAGCTGTAATAATGATAATAATATAATAATAGTAATATTTTTTTTTTCCTAAGTAACTTAGAACACTATCAGATATTATATTATTTAGTACCTAATAAAACTTAATTAAAGTTTGGCTGTGGAGCCATACGATAGGATTATCTAATTCTAATTATAGGACCATTTCTTTACGTGCTTCAAATTTCCGCTTCCTTCTTTTCTTTTCTCTTTTCTTTTTTTTTCTTGTCAAATATTGATATTATAATGATTATAATTTTTGAATAAAATAATCAAAATTATAAGACAATATCTCAAGTTAAAAATCCAATTTATTCTCATTTTAAATTCATTGGAACCAATACGAGATTATTAAAATATGAACTGATTGATCAATATCGCAGGTTAGATTTTATCGATAATATATTAAGCACGAAGATTAAATATCACTATTCAAAGATATTTTTTATTTCTTAATAAATATATAAAGAAAAAATGATTTATGATTTATTTCAACTTTCTATTCATTGATAGATAAAAGTTTATGAATATACTAATGATCACAAAGTGCACTTTATTTATAAAGGTTAATTCTGATAGAGTTCAATCAGTCTACAGAAAACATTTTTTTTTTGGAAAAAAAGAAAAAAAAAAAGAAAAAGAATTTTTTTCTTTTTTAATAATAAATTTTCGAAGTTTTCAATCATGAGCAAATATGTAACATTGCTTTTTGTAACAGTCTTTCCTGCAATTCGCGGAAATATACGAGTTTAAAATTATCTACTTGTGTCTACTGAACTTGAGTATATGTCGATACCGACAGGAAATGATAATCAATGATCAAAGTGACGAGTCCTTTCTGATTCTCCAAGATTTATCAAAATTGTTCTATATTAAACTCTTTTTTTCTTTTCCATTTTCATTCATTTGTCGATTTTTTTTTTTTTATTATATGCTGGCTACATTGATTCATTCATTGACTACAATTATTGTCAGCTATGATCAAATCCTGAGTAATAGACAAAACAATTCTTTAATGCAGTTTAATTATTTTTGAGAATATTCTTTTTCTATTAAATTTCTATTTGATAATTTCTATATCATGCTTAACATTGCACGTTGTTTTGTCACATAATATTGCTATGATTTTTGCAATTTATGAGTTTTTTCAACCAAAATCCAAATATTTTAAGTATATATTTGGATTGGAGGTATATATATCATATACAATACTGAAAATGGAAAAAGAGAATATTGTATATATACAATTATAGCTTACAATTTTCAACAAGAGTTTTTTCATTTTCATTCATTTCATTGCAATATTTCATATGTTAAGAATAAGATAATATGCCCAATCTTTTTAAATGTAATTAAAATAACTTCAATTTTTTAATTTTTTTTTATATAAATAAAATTAGTGGAAATTAGTTCAAAATGAATTCTTCTTGGTATAAAAAAGCAAATATATGCGGTGAAAAGCGATAGAATCTGTCCATTTGCTCTTCAATAAATCAGTGTGCTAGTTAAAAATTGGATTTACATTATATAATTACTACTCTTCGTTAAATCACATGTTCAAGCTACAACTGGTTCAGGACTACAAGGTTGCAAGTCTGGCTCGTTTTGAGATTCTGTTGCATTTGCAGTGGTACTTGACGTGTTTGGATCATGGTTTGGATCTGGATCTGGTGTTACCGCCGCCCATTGTGTAGTATATGGTGCTGCCCCAGCTTGTCTTCTAGCTTTCCTTCTAGCACGTCGTTGTTCCATTACTAATCGTAGACGTCTCATTTTTCCTTTAGTTGCTTCATTTTCTTTCGATAATTCTTCTATAATGATAAATAATTAAATTATAAATCTTTTTTGTGATATAGTTTTAAATTTGTTTAAGCTATATTTTTAAGATTAAATACCAGTAGAATAACCAGGATTAGAGGAATTGTGACAACCAACAATAGACGTAGAGGCACCATTCACATTAGTTGTCACTCCATTCGAGGACGGAGAGGTTGATGACTGTTGGCGATTGCTAGTATGTCTATGATGATGCCTATAATGACTTGCAGTGGCAGCTGGTGTAGCACATAATAAATCATTAAGAATATGAATAATGGTACTTATATCTCGTTTAGGACGTCCATGTCTATCCTGAAGAGCTGGATTCAAGGTCCCACTAAATGTACCAGAATATACACCTTTTCCATGATGATGCATACTCTCTATTATTGCACCTTGTCTGCGTCTTGCATTTTCCTATGTTTAAAAAATTTTATATGATTATATTAAAATAAAATTTATAAAAAAATATTTATATTAATTTCATAATATACATATATGTATTAAATATTACTAATATATATTGATTTATTTTACATATTTTTTTATTTTACATTGCATGCAATTATAAAAAAAATCATACAATCAAAGAAAGAGGACAAAATAAAAAAAAAATATATTTAAAAACCTAAGAGATTCTTTAATAAATTTTTTTTATAATATGAATCATTAAAATATAATGCTATTATGAAAATCAAAAAAATATTTCACAATTTCTGTCTCTTAGGATCTTAATAAATACACATTCTAAGGTATATATGAAAAAGTACACAGGGGGAACTGGCATCGGTAACAATGTATACCTCTGCGAGGTCGACCCGTGAGGTGAGTACCTCAGAAGAGAGTTGCTTCAGTTTCTGCGTCAAGTTACGAGAAGCTTCAGCTAGCGCCCTGGTGTCTAAAGTTGCAGCCTTTGAATTTTGTTCAGTTAATGAAGAAGTAGGACTCTGGAGATTGATATCGCCATCCATTATATTACTTCTTGAGGAGTCTGTATCATTAGATTGTTGACCATGATGATGAGCAGGACAGAGTTTTTTTCTCGGCGGAATTATGTCATAGGATACTGGTTCTATACATCCGTGTCCTGTAGAGGTAGATTGTTGCAAATGGTCCATAGAGGATGAAAGAGATTGGTTGCTATTGGATAAACTGATAGGTTTATTTCTTGAGTGATGATGGTGATGATGATGGTGATGGTGATGATGATGACTATGATGATGATGATGGTGATGGTGATATAGAAGGCAAGATTGACAGGCATTAGAATTTCCATTAGACGATATTGAGCCATGGCTGTTACTATTTCGAGCGGATGGTGGTTGATTAGCGCAAAGAGACGAATGTGAAGGACTAATTGGTGAGTACGAGGACGACGAGGAAATGGAAGAAACAGTTGTAGCACGACTCGAACAAACTGGACTAGTTGTAGTAGTAGCTGTCGAGAGACTGGTACTACAACTGGCTGCTGCATGTAATGCTGAAGCCAAACTGCTTATCAAAGAAGATGTCCTCGCAGCTGCAGTACCACTTTGTAATTTCGCAGAATTATTAGAACGTGCAGCCAGGACAGTAGATCGTCTACTTTGCAAAGAAGTTGAAACATGGTTGGTTGATAAGTTAGATCCATTAGAACTGTTTCCACCGATAGTTAATCCGGTTGTATTATTAGTTGTTTGATTGGCTGTTGGTGAGGCCGGAGTTACAGTGGATAATTGTAATTGTATCAACATCATGTGATCCCCCAATCGCATGGTAAGATTCAAAGGGGCTTTGCCAGAAAGGAAATCGTTCACTTGAGAATCATTTAAACTTTCTAATGCTTGCATCACACTTTGTTCCGGTCGTTGTGCCTGAAAATATTTATATTAATCAAAGCCTAATCTTTTTTAATTTTTTTTATTTTGTGCATTACATATTTTTATTATTATAATATATTCAAATTATTTTTCGTAATAAAAAAGAAATGATTATGCAAAACTATTCATAAAAATAATTCGATCAAATCTTTACTGCTAAATGACGTTTAAAATACTTTTACAGAATAAGAGGCAACAACCTCAAAGAGGAAGCTAAAGAGGAAACCGTATGGATTAACAAACTCTATTCGATTAACTTTTTGATCCTGCATCTGAATCTGAAATCATTTTTTGTATTCTTCCATTTATGTAATCAATCAACTTTAAATTTAAGAATTAAGAAAACTCCATTATATGGAAGATCAAAATTCTAATATATACTATACTAATATATACATATATTATACTAATATATACATATATCACTTTTCTTTAAAAGCATTGATTTTTTTAAAGTCATTATATATTCTTACATAAACTTATTTTTTGGAAAATCGAACAGAATCTGATATATTTAAATTAAATCCTAATATGTTTAATGATTCTGAATAATAATTCGATAATTTTTTTTTTCATAGAATCGGTATATTTATTCAAATAAAAGATGAAATTGAATCGATAAGACGATGACGAGATGGAAACGCGAGAAGACCTGCAGAAGAGGGGAAACCTCGCGAACCGCGGCTCAGACCCTAGACGACACAGATAGGCATCCCTCGATACACCTAACGGACTTCCTTTCACTGACGGTCATCGTATATTTGGTAATTCAATTTGCTTGTGCTCCGTTTACAGAGAATCTCAGTTTCTATGAATGGACTTTCAATACCATTTCAATCACATACTTCTTTTTTTATCTAATTTTCCATTGGAAAATAATTTTCAGTTGGAAAATAATTAAATAATAGGTCAATAGTATAATTCTGTAATTCACTCATTAATAATCATAAATATATTCAATTAATATTTCTGTAAAAATATTCATTTTTATTTTTTAAAACTTCTTTAAAACTTTTTTTAATAAAATAATAATTGAATCTTATATTTTAATTGTAAAGAATTCGTGATTTATTAATCTAGAGATATTCCTATATATTTCGATAATTAATATAAATCAAAAAATCTCTGCCATAGTATCATGAATATTGCAACACAAGGAAGCTAGTGGCGCCACGCTTAAGACGCAACCTGCTATCAAGCCAAAAACATTACGAGTCGTATTCGAGTTTTCCCCCATCCAGATCTTTCCTAGATCTTTCCTACCATGTCTCGATAGGACACGCTAAGTAATATAGCAAAATAAAATATGTTTTAAAAAAAGAATTTCAGATAGTAATAAGAGCATAATTACATGAATGTTTACAATTTATAATGTCAACTGAAAATAATAGCAAAAATGTTAAAAAAAAACATGAATAATTTGCATTAATATATATTCCATATTGGACATTTCCAATTGAATGTACATGCAAATAGATTTTTGTTAGAAGTATAAAATAATATTAAAAATAATATATTATTGAACAATTTATAATATATAAACTAAATATTTAATAATTTAATAATTTTATTATATTATAGAATTGAAATATGATTATTTTTATCTTAATTATAAGAATTCGTTTTTTAATATAATGTATTTAAAGATACATAATCAAAATCTCGCTTCCTATTTTTTCAAAACATGTATTCAAAATTTTTGCACAATACTTAGAATTTAATGAAACAGAGTTTATTTTCTAATCTCTAAGATCATTTTCTAAAGTCATTAAAAATATCTTTTATTATTTATTAAATTTATTGAAAATATAAGTTAAACTATCTATGAATAAAAAATAAACAGTGATCTCATATAATTTTTTGATTATTATAAAAAACAAATATTATTTTCATTAATCTGTTAAACCAGAATAATATTTGTTTTTTTGATAATATGATTAATTATTTCGATCTTTATTTATTAACAAAATTTTTAGCAACGATTAATTAAATCACTATAAAAGTAATATTTCAAATTCAAGCCTGTTATTTAAGTATTATTTATGTTATTTATAAATGTAATTTCTACATACATTTTTCTGAAAATAAATTGCGATTCTGAAAATTGCGAAAACATTAAAAAAATTCTACCGTTTCACAGAATTTTCATAATCAATCAATAAAACTTTTCTTTCAATTAAGCAAACATTACCAGAATTGTTAAACCTTTAACTTTTAATGTTTAATAAAGTTTTCATATGTTACACAATAATATTTTACATTTTAATATTTATACATCTATGATCAATTTCATCTTTTATTTTTCAAACCAGAAAAACCGATATTTATGCGCATTTTCAGATTATTGTTTTTCACTAAACATGAATATAAATTATTTGAATATAAGACATAAAATTTTTAATTTCAAAGGTCGAGAACTTCGATATTTAGTACTTTTTTTTTTCAAGTGAAAGTCAAGAACCGTTAGCATTTGCTTATGAATGAACTGTTGTAAATGTTTTTACAACATATAAAAATATATTCTTTTATATTATTAAGGAGAATTAATATATAAAGAATCTTATTTTTATTATAAAAGTAAAACTATAGATAAAAAATAGATAAAAAGTATATATCGATCTAAAAAAATATTTTTAATTAGGAAAAAATCAATCAGGCTGGCCAACTATGAACAAAATCGACGTTAGTCTCGCCCTGCTTTATCGTAACTACCCACGAAAGAATAGCAAATATGTATAGGCAATGTAGCGTTAGCAGTTATCCTGATCCACACGGCATAGCTACACACATTTACACATGCTACACATGGGCACACTTTAAAATTGACTGCGGGTGACCGAGCGGGCGGTCCCCTTGACAGCCATGCGAACGAGTCTCGGTCGCGATAAGGACCTGTAGTGTCGGCGCTGTTGCCAGTACCTAGAGATTATTTCTTTGTGTATGCACGTGCAGTCGATATATGCATAGCTTCTCTTTTATCGATTCAAATGGAATAACCTAGCAGAGATTGTTAGCTAGATTCTTTTGATTTTGTTCTGGAAATGAAAATATCAATTAAAAAATAGAAAATTATATTAAAGAGCCTTATTTTTCATTTGAATTGATAGAATATTAAATACAGAAAGATGAAACTATAAAATAAATAAAAAATTATTTAAGATTTATAAATGGATAAAGAATTTAAGATTAATTAAATTAATTTTTCAAACGTGACAGAATTTCATTTATCTATTTTAGTACATATATATAGATATGATATAGATGATAAACTGCATTTCGATAGAAATCTTGACAACTTACTTTATATATAATTTAAACTTTTCTAAGAATTGAACCTTCCTAATACAGAAAAAATTTTGTAAGAGTCATTCAAAATACAAATTTTATATATGCAATATATTCTTAATATAAATCAAAATATACAGTCTATCAGAAAGATTAAAAAAACTTTGTGTGTAATGAAATACCTTTAAGATGCCGTAATGCATGTAAAGAATACTACGAGATCAGCAAAGAAAAATATGACGCAATAGTACTGGAATATAAAGCGCTGACGATACATTGACCGAGAAACCAAGTGACCCAATGATACGACGAACGAAGTTAACTGCGTTTATTTAAATCATATCTTTACATTCTCTTTCTTTTATGAAAACTTTTCTGTGGATTTTGGCAAAAAAATTTTTTAAATTTTTTATTATCAGAACATGCATTTAACTTACTAATAGGCCGGTTTCTACGCTCGGAAGCAATGTGAGTCGACTGCCATCTTGCAAACGATTTTCCTCAAGTGTTCCCTCGCGCAATTGTCTAAAATACAAATTTAAAATTATTTCAATATTGATAAAATTATCGTAAAAATTGTGGAATTTTAAATTAAATATATTATTCTACGATATATTTTTTAATTATTGTGAATAATTCTAATATAATCTATAATGTTATCTCTTATCACAACAATTTTACAAAATCTCTTTTAATCTAATTCTAAATCTAGCCATTCAAATTATATTTTATAATTCATAAATTATAAGATATTAATTATCAATGTAGAAATATTTTATCTATTTTTAATATTATATATAAAATTCATAAATAAATAAAGATAATTTATGATAATTCTTAAAAACTCTAATACAGTTATATATAGTTATATAAATTATAATATTACTATTTTCAAAATTTAGATGATATTAACACTAATTATATTATCATGTTATGGTAATAAAATAATATGATTCGCGAAATTAGACGATATGATAAATCGTATATTATAAATTAAATATTGAAACCGCAAATTCATATATATATATAATGTCACAGTCATTATACAATTCTTTCCGTAGTATATTTATATATCTGATAATATAATACAAATATTTGTAATTCATAATTTTTAAAGTTATTTTTTTAATTAAATAGAAATTATATAAACATATTATTTATATATTTTATATTTAGAAGATATGTATATTATTAAAAGAAAATTAGGAAAATAGAACAAAAAATATATTGATATTGAATTTAAAAACTATTTTAAATTCAATCAAATATCAAAATCAATATTTTATTTCATTTCATATTATTCCTTATTTCTGTTTTCCTTGTGTATTCATTAGAATATGTTTAATAAACTTGATGTATGTATTAATGATTTCTCATTTTCATTTTTTAATTTATTTAACTTAATTTATAAATATATTATTTAAATATATTTGTTTATTAATAATAAAAGGCAGATCTAAGAAATTTATTAGAATTTAGTCAATATAGAAAATTCAGTTGATGTTACGTCATTATTATACGTATATCAGATTATACAATACAGAATAACGTCCATCTGAAATTTATTAACTACACTTTTGCTAAAAAAACAGCATAAATTATAGAATATGTTTCCAAGAAAAGTTTTTTATTATCATTATGAAGTATTAAGTTATTGAAAGTATATTGAAAATATATATTAATATATATATATATAAATTATATACATAATATACATATATAAAAATAATATAAAAAGTTTTTGAAATTATCATGAAAATATCCAACATTTCTTCATTAACATTTATATAATTAATTTCAATTGTGCACAAATATATATTCCATAAATTTGTAAAATATCTTTACTAAAAAAATTATTATTATCATTATTATAAAAATTAATAAATTATCATTATTATGAAAACGAAATTTAAGGCAGACTTTAATTAACATTGTTTTCATAGATTAATATTTTTATAGAATTGAATTTCTAGTTGATAAATTGATTCAACAGAGACCTCTATTAATTGAACATCAAATATGAAATCGCGGCGAATTTTTGCGATCCTGGTGCCACTCACACGGATTCTAATAAATTTAACGGTTTTTGCAAATATTCTGGTACGATTAAATCTTTCTGGTTATTACAAAACCATCGTTCAAAAAATATTATTCTTATTCCCAAATCAACCAATTTAAAATTTTAATGTATGGTTTCATGAAAATTAAATATGTATAAAATAAATTTTTAAATTAAAAAATAATTAAAATACTAAATACTATATTTCTGGAATGATAATAAATATATCTATAAGATTTTTTGGTTATTGAATGAATCAATAAAATATAGAAACTATTTATTTAGATAAAAAATTATACGATTTCATTTCGCATACAATTGTGAATAAAACAATTACAATGATGGATAATGCAACACGTACATGTAGTATAATTTAAAAAAAATCAAATTATATATTTTTGGCACAGACCGATATTATAATGAGAAAAAAAAACATGCCAAGAATACCTAAAAATAAACTATATCTGAGCAAATATAAATATATAAAGATAATATGGGAACATTCTTATCGGTAATATGATAAATAATGTTTTTTTCTTGATGACTTTAAGGTCATAGAAGGGAACCGTATATAATCTTTGATTCATGTAATTATACTTTATAATCCTTTTTAATTATAGAATTGTAAACATATTTTATTTTACTTTTTTATTTTGCTATAATGAAAAAAGATTTTGATAATGAAAAATGAATGATCTTTAATGATAAAATTAATTGGATGAAAATATTCCTTATATATATAAGAATAAATAACAAATATAAAATATTTCTTGATGACAAATAAGTATTTAATATGGCACGAAAGGTACAGTTATCTTTATATAAATTTAACTTGCAATTGATTAGAAAATACATTCTTTTTAATTTCAAAAATTAATTTATAAATAATTAATCAAAATTAATTTATACATGAATGACAATATTTTTTAATTTTGAAAAGAATTAATATAGATTATAAAGTAAATTAGAAACAATGTAATTCATATAATATAAAATGCCAAAAAAACTAAAAAATATTAATTAAATAATAAAAATAATAAAACTATTAATTACTAGTAATAAAAATATTAAAACTGATAAAAAACATAACATAACATAAAACAATAGTAATATAAATATAATCGTTAATATATTCTGCAATTAATACGATACGTATGCGCTCGAGGAGTTATAATATAAAATAGAAACAAAATAATGAACGAATTCCCATATATATACGTGTCATATTTACACAGGGGAGATTCAAACACAAAATGCACTAAATATATAATAACAAAGAACTGTGAACATTACCAAAAGTGGACTGACAGACAAAATGAACAAGTAAATAATAATGGATATTTGTTTCTCTTTGATACAATTTTAGAATACAAGATGTGACTTTCATTAAAAGCGTTAATTATAATTATATTAAAATAATAATCTGAAAATTTCAAATTTTAAAATCTACATTTGTAAAATTAAAATAAAAATTTTAAAAACTATTTATAACAAATTAGTAAAGTATAGCAAAATAGCAAAATATTATTATCATTGTCCTTTCATGTCACTATTTTAAAAATTATAGCTAGTAAAAGAATTGAATGTTGATTATTAAAATGAAGATATGTAAACCAATAAAGAATAATAAAAAAAAAAAATTTCAATGATCTTGAGTATGGGAATAATCTGCCTTGTCGTTTCCATCCAATAATTTTTTTTTTCTTCTATCTCTTTTTGCAGAAGGCTGTCACTGTTCCACTTTACAAGACGCGATTCTCGAGATATTCTATCTATACCACCTCCACCTTCTACTTCGAGTTTATGGTATGCCAGCCTTCCTCTCCATGTTTCTCTCGCGTGCTTGCATAGAGGATCAGTTCGTGCAGCGGCCCCCACGACGCCTACGAATATCATGCCCACTCTCTTTTTCATCGTGTCGATGCTGTTTTTGTTCTTGCTCTCGCATTTTTTCAGCTACACCATATACAACGCACCGATATTGTACATGCACATACACTCACCATTTTTTTTTCCACACACTCTTCTTTTTAACAAGGAATATTATGCAAGTACGTCTATATATTTTTTGAAAATTAATTTGTGAAAAATTCATATAGATCTTTTAATTATTGATAATTTAAAAGCACATGATTCAAATGCTTCCATTTTCTTTATCTCATTACAAGAAATTAAAAAACGTTAACGACAAATAATTAAAACGATAATAATATGTGTATATATATGCATATAAATATATATATGTATACATATACATATATATTATGAATTTATTTGTGCATATATATATATATATATATATATATATATATTTACTATTTCGATATACCAACCTTTCACGATGTAGTAAACAAATACGTTCCTTTGCGACCTTCAGCCTCTTCGAGATGATCTTCTTAAGGTTCTCAACGGTATCAGTACGATCGACTGTAAGGTCAAATTGTCCACCGGTGGTCGGCGTGATGCTGATAGTAATTTCGTCAGGTTCGAGGACAGTGGCAGCAACGCAGCCACACCCCGGCTGTAGTGGCGGTGTGGAGGAGGAGGAGGATGATAACGATGACGACGAAGAAGACAACGAGGAGGAATTTGTAGGGAGTGGAGAAGCTGAACCAGCCCTTATTGAGCGTTGACTGCAATATTCTCTTGGTTGATCGGATTGCGTCGTAGAATATGTGGCACTAGAGGTAGTCGTCCCGGATGATGCAGTATTAGTCATATCATTAGAATTTCGTTGAGTCTTTGATCTTTTATTATTCTCACTATCCATTGCTGTCACGTCCGACGGTGGATCCGTGTTACCGTCCATTCTGCAACTATCGACACCAATGGAACCGTGTCGCCAACTTCGCACACCTACTTCGTTCAGACCCACGTCTTCGCGTCCCGTACGACACACTATACGCGCACCCGCACCTGCACCTGTACTCTCGGCGTCCTAGCTATTCGACACACACTCGTTCACGTCGCACAATCGCAGTGCTGCGAGGTCTGGCCACGGTGTCTTCGGGAACGCGAACGCCACGAGGAACGATTCAGCGAAACACAATGGCAAGGAGAGACGAGGAAAGAGAAACGATTAGACAGTCAGATAAGTGAAGAAACATAAAGAAAGAAAAAGAAAGACAAAGACAAAAAGATAGAAACGAATTAAATGAAAAAAAAAAGATTTATGAGATTCTTGACATGTACATGATATATTGCATGTGATTAATTTTAGGAATATATTTAAAAATAAATTTTTTTTAAATTATTTTAGCTCACTGACTATTTTTTCTCATTACTATATACATACACGTTATAATTCTTTTTTATTGATTACAAATATGCTCTATATTTTATTTTTATCTTCTCACACATTGCAAACAAAATTTTAACTGGACAAGCTTTATAAGAAATTAATATCAATTGAACAATTAAAAACTTAAACATTTGCTAATAATTTCCAACTAGTTTCCCCGACAGATCAACGGTCAACCAATATGGCAACATCAACTCGGGCAGACATCTGAATTTTGAAAGAGCGGGAAATTTAAATAGGTTCAAATATTTTTTCGTATTTTAATTTTAATTAATTTTATTAAATAATTTTTTCAATATGATTTATGAAAATAATATTATTAATAAATATTGAGGATTTTATTAAAGAATTTCTTTTAATATATACAATTTTTAAGAGTTAATAATAAGCAATATAATAAGATTTTATATCACTGAGCTTTATTTCACATTCTTATTGTCCAGCAATTTGATATAAATTCTGGCAATTTTTTTAATGTGATCAACACATAATAAATCATAATTTTATTACTGACCATTAAAATAGAAAATGATTTAAATTATATTCAAACTACCATGTTATACACATTCAAATATATTAATTAATTAGATATTTTTAATGCATATATGATACAATTTAACATTTTATATGATGTAACTTTGAAAAATTGTATCAAAAATATGTTATTTTTATGATAGCTTAAATTTATATCCGGAAAATTATGTTCCCATAAGTTTTTTTTCCTTTTTTCAATAATATTGGAAGAACAAATGTACAATAACATTTAAATCACATATTAATTTTTTTTCAAATTAATTACATTAAGGCCTAAATTGCAGTGTATACTAACTTTTTTTTGTTATTTCTTATCATTTTTCATAAAAAAATAATGATATAAAAATATATAGTATATAAAAATACGATATATAAAAATATACAGTATGATTATTTGTAAATCTAGATTCTAACCAAAGAAAGATACAATACATACAATATATATATGCTATACACTGCAAATTTACATTTAAATTATTCGAAATTAATCGAATATAAATTGATAATTCCTTACATTATTAAAATATTATTAAATGCAAGAGACATGGAAATTCATGATCCAAATTCTTTTGTATCCGCTTCGATAGTCTTAAATTCATAATTACCTCTTCCATCCATTCGCAAATAATACTAAAAATAAATATTAATATAAATTAAATATTTATTAAATAATTTTTAAATAGAAAATTTTTTGCAAACCTCATGATGTTTCCAAAGAGACTGTCGATGTGATACTGTGAATAATGTAATATTAGTTTGTTTGCAGTACAAGTACATTGAATCCTCGACATCAACACTAACAGCACTTGTACATTCATCTAAAATTGCAAATTGTGGTTTATGATAGAAAAGCCGAGCCATCTAGAAAAATCATATTTAATTAGTATTATAAATTTTTGCAATCAATAACAAAAAATCTTTTCATTATTACAATAAATAAAAAAACATTGTATGTACAGCTATACGTTGTTTTTCACCACCAGACAAAACATCCATCCAATCAGCTACAACATCCCAACCTTGTCCTTCGCTACTTATAAGATTTTCTCTTTCTAATAGATGACCCAATTGAACGAGATCTAATAATTTCTTCAAATCAGTATCAGTCATTTGTCCGCGCCGTATCATTTCCGTTTTGGTATGAGGATAAATTATTTGATCTCTCAATGTACCCAAAGTCATATAAGGACGCTGAGGAATGTAGAATAATTTTCCTCGAGGAGGTTTGATAATTGTTCCATTCCAAATTGGCCACAACTGTTTTAATTTAATTTTTCATAATTTGACACAATACATTTGACAGAGCATAAAATAATTAAATTATCATTAAGAAAAAATTGAGCATCATTTGAATTGAATTTTTATTTGAATAAAATTTTCGAATTATTTTTTAATAAATAGAATGAATAATTTTTTTATTTATTTAAAGATTCATTTGTATTTATATAGTAAATTTATGAATAGGTATGTCACGAAAATTAAAATCAAATATAACTTTTTTGATCTAATGTTTGGTCCATGATTGAGAATAATAAATATTAAAAAATGAAATATCTCTATTTTTCAATTTATCATTTTATCATAATATATTTCTGATATTTCCTTGAGATCAAATACATCTAAATTGAATTCAATCTAAATTGAATAATTATAATTCGAATAAAATTTATTTAATTTCGATTAAAAATATCATAAAACTTACTTCTCCAAGAATTCTAAATAATGAACTTTTTCCACAACCATTTGGACCACAAACTAACACATTCATTCCTGATTTAACTTCAAATGATAGTTCTTTAATAAGAATATCTCCATTAGGTGTTATCAGAGGTACATGCTCGAATTTTATGATATTGTCTTTATTTATTATTTTTCCTATGCCTGGAGTTCCAATTGGCTCATTTTTGAAATCAGAAACCATTGTTCTTTTATATTTTCCTGTTTTTAAATCATTAAGAACGATTTTTATCTCACTAACTCTTGCAGTAAATCCTGCCAATCGCGTCATTTCTCTTCCAGCTAAAACTAATCTACCAATAGCTTCTGCCAATTTTACTAACATACGACCATATGTATAATAACTCCTAAATCGATGATTAGGAGTTCCTGTGAGAATAGGATGATTTTCTATAAAGAAAGGTAAGCTCACTGCGTAGAAACCAATTACAGTTCCCATATCTAAAATAAAAGCATCAAATTAAGATTATATTAAATATAATCACTATAAATAATTACAATATAATATATATAAGTGATATCTTACATTTACCAACAAAATTATCAATTATTCCTATGAAAGTTCTAAACTCTAGATATTTGCGAAGATGTATTATCTAAAAGAAAAAAGTATTTCTTTTTTTTGCATTATATATTAACGTTTATCAATGTTGATTGAAATAGAAAGTTAGCTTGAATTTTATATATTAATTATAATGATAAAATTTTAACAAAATATTTGATATATATTTTTTATAACTTACAAGTTTATGAAAACTAGTTAATAAAATTAACTTTTCTCGGTTATTTCCTTGGTAAAATGCTATTTCCTCAGAATTAGTGATTATTCTTGAATTAATATGACGATATTCACCCTCTAAACGTTGTTCTTTTACTGTCATTTGACCGATAGGTTTACGCAAATAAGTTATTATCATACCAGCAAAAATGAGATATGAAAGCATAATTACTGGAGTCTGTAAAATCCATATATATTATTATAAATATATTACATTTATACTTATAATATTTATGTTATACATACTTCACTACCAAGAGTAGATGTGAGCCTATAAACATAAATGATAATATCTAACAAAGGTTTAGTAAGATTACTATACAGATCTGTGCAGCTTTCACAAAATTTATCAACATCAGTAGTTAAAAGTTGATCTGGATTTGCTATACGATTATCTAAATTATTCATTTTATAATAAATATAACCACTGTAATAATAATAAATATTATTTTTTTATGAATGAAAACTTATTAATAATTTATATATTATTATTTATATTATTATATTATTTTTTAAAATTTATAAATATTATAAAAAATTGTTTCTACAAATTTTATTTACTATTTATTATTATTAAATTTATAAAAAAAGAAGGAAACTTACTTAAGATATTGATCCAATAAACTTCGTGTGATATTTGTGCGTAACCTTAGCTTCATTTCATATATACTATATTTCAGTACGTTGTTCACAATAGATATCTAAATAAATATAATCATGGAAGATTATATCAATAATTTCTTCCAATTGGTAAGAAAATAAAGCTGCTTGGCAGCCTGAATGAAAAGATTTCATTAGCAGCCTCTGAAAGCAACTTCTAATTTTTTTTTCATTAAATTTATTTACTTACCATTGGTAATACAGCTAAGAATTTAAGTAGACGCCTTTTAAATAAAGATTTATCCATTTTAAGAATTGATCTATAATACAAAATAAACTTGCTAAATTTTAAGCTTTGTAATTTTATCAAGATCAAACAAAGATTGAAATAAATTACATACGATTCAATTAAAGTGCCCATATTTATCATCCAGAGATCACAAAAAGATTTTGTAATAAGTGTACCTGCGATAAGGAGAACAAAGGCAAATTCAGAAGATACTATTGAGGGTATACCAATTTTAAGCAATTGATATAATTGTCGAAAAAATCTCGCATTTACATGAGCTTTAGGTCCTTTTGGTTTTTCCTGAAAAGATTATTTGTAGATATTTAACATTCAAAATATACAATTATAAGAAATCATTTTTGCTCACCTCTTTAATAATATATTGTATATCTTCGACAGGCCAAATATTTCTACAAAATGAAGTAAATGTTTAATATTACACGATAATTAATTACATATATATATATATATATATGCATAAAGAATTTACCTATATTTTGCAACCTGTTTCCGGTTTCTTCTTTTTAATATCCATATTAATGTAGATAATGCACAAACACTAGTCACTGTGCGTTTAGTCACAAATTTACTAAGTGTTAGCGCCATTCTTTCTGCTATGAAGGATCGACTAAAAATTCACCGTCTTTTACGACGGTCTCGACACTTCTACGTCCAGTTTAAACATAAAGCGAACTTGTAGTGGGGTGGTCACCCGATGAATCAGCCATATCGATAAGTTAGTTTCGTTTGTCATTCCGTCATTATTATTCGTCAATTTCACCATTTTTTTTTTATGTTTTATGATATTTTTATATATATAATAATTAATAATTATTAACCTTTTCTGTATGTACATGTCTATCATTGGTAGAAAATTATTAAGGTCTCTTTCTATTATACAGTTTTATATTCATGAATTTTTGATTAAAGAAAATATATTCTAAAATGAATATATATATATATATATATATATATATATATATATTTGTGTTATTATTTTATAATAAATATTTAATAATATTATTTAATATTTATTATTTAATAATAAATAAATACAGAAAAAAGAATAATATAATAATAGAGAATCAATAGATAATAGATAAATAGTTTAATTGGAGTAAAATAATTTTAATTTTTAATATTATAGAAAATTTAATATGTTTTATATTATTAATTATATATATATTATTATATAGAATTATATTTTCGCCATTAATTATCATTAGTTATCATCTAAATTAATAATTTTATAAAAGTAATTTATTTATTATTTTATTAAATATTAAACTTCATTTTGGAAAATCAAAAATTTGTAATTTATTTTATACTTTCCAAAGTATTAATTAAAAATTAAAATAAAAAATATAAGTTTTAAAATTTAACTCATTCAAATGTTATAAATTTATTAATAAAATACATAATCTATTTTGCGCCATATTGATTTAATCTATAACTCATCCAATCAAATCATAATTATAAATAATAAATGAATACCCGTGAATGATCATTTAGCAGAAGAGCAAAATAAATTCTATTGTATTATATTCATAATATATTATTAATTCTTGATTATAATTAAATTTAGATATATTTTTGCTTAGATCATATCTAAATTAAAATTTGGTTTAAATTATAAATTATATTTAATTTATATTTAAGTTTCGATAAGTTAGATTTTAATTAGGTTAGATCTAAAATATGAATTATATATATAATATAACATCAAAATAACCTATAATGTTTATATGAATGTAGATTTTGAATTAATTATATTCTTAAATATAAAATATTTTTGAATTTCATTTATTAAATTACTCAGAAGACAAAAGTTACATATTTTAGGAATTTCATTACAAATATTTTCTTCATTATTTTATATAGATATAATTTAAATTTAAAATTAATATATTAAAAAATAATTAATGTATCAAATTATATCAAAGAATGTTTATCATTATTGTCCGTGAAAAAAATTGAGAGGAAAATATATTTAAGATTTTATAATAACTTGAATTTTAATATATATTTTTTTTTTATTTCATATGTTTATTTTTATAATAATCATATATCATAATTATCGATCGTCACCATCCTTATTACATTGTATTTAAATATTTGTAAATGTAAGTAAAATGATATAGCATATTTTGTCGCATAAAACTATTAAAATATATTTTAATGGTTCGTTTATAGTATAATGATATTTTAATTCAAAATAAATTAACATATATGCAAATACAGTTACAAAAATATATATTTTCAGTAAATATTGTGAAAATCATGTGTATTTTTTATGAATTTTTCAAATCCATCTTTTTTTCAATTATTGTTTTCAAATATTGTTTTTTTTTATATTTTACATCTTTCTTTTTTTATATCAATTTCTTTTTTATATCGATCCAATATAAAAAAAATACTCAGGTATAAATAATAAAATTTTGAACAAATTTAAATCTGCCTATTTTTTGTGACAAGTAATCAATAATCAACTATACTTTCCTTAAATAAATTAAAAAAATTTAAATATTAAAATATAATAAGGGTATATATAGTAAGTTAACTTTATATTTAAATAATAATATATTTTATTAAAAATATTTCATACAAACATTATTTTCAAATATGATAATTTCAATATCTTCGATTCAGTTTGTTAGCTTTTTGTATAGATCTGTGTATTTTATATATCATAAATACGATCTGCAAATAAAGTAAGTAAGTTGGCACTGCAAATAAAGTTTGACATCTTTTTATTTTTCGAATTTTAACAAAACCATTGATAATTACCATTAATACATTATATATTATATAATCTTTTTTTATCTTGATAGATAAATTACATTTTTGGCTGGATAATGAATCAATTGAATTTAACGATGAATAATATCTATAAACAAAAGCATTAAGAAAATTAATTTATTTTTACATCATATATCATATTAAAATAAAGAATTAGCTTACTAGTAATTGTATCGCATTTATTTATCTTCTTTATAGCTGCGTTTAAACTTTGTAGTAATATTCCATATTTTTGTTTTGATTGTATTTAATTTGCATTATTGATATATTTTTCCTTGTATTTTTTATCATTCTGACATATCATATAAATAATATCAGTCCATATAAATTGGTTGGCAACAACTTATTCATCTGAACTATTAAAAAAAATAAATGTGTAATAATTAATACACATTTGTAAGATGAAAAATTATAATATTTATAAATAAAATGAGAAAATAAAATTTTTAATAATTTAATGCTATCATCATTTTATATATATATATATATATATATATATATATATATATATATATATGATTTATAAAATCTATAATTAAATTATACCAATTTCTTTATATTATTCATTTTTCTTAATTTACAAATTAAGGATAAAAACATGCAGCATAAGAAATCAAAAATTTCGATTAAAAAATTATTAAATTAAAGATATTGTTTCAAATTAATGATTAGCAGAATAGTTTTTAAATTATTGCAATAAAAAATATAATTAATAATTTTATTTTAAGTAATTAATTTGTCTGACAACAAAATAAATGGAAAAAAAAAAAGAAATAGTATAGTTAGTAAAAGAGATATAATGATATTTCTATAAAATCAAAGTATTAAAATTTAAATATTTCGAAAATCAAAGTTAATAATATATTTTCCATAGATAAAAAACTTAACTTAAAGATGATGTCTCAACTCAAAGTGTGTCTATAAAATAACTTAAATTTTTGTATATTATTTATGATTGAATTCTACTAATTTTAGAAATTTTAATAGTATTAAAAACAATAATAAAAAAAATAAATGTTTATAAAAAATATTTTGAATTTAATTTATGATATATTCTCATATATTTCTTTTAGCAACTATATTAATATTTTTAATATTTGTCAATTGGTTAAGTCATTAAACATTAAATATGTAAAAAATTAATAAACGATTAAAATAATTAATTTACATATAATTATTCATATATAAAAAAAATAAAAGGGATTATAAAAAATATAAAAAGAAATATAGGAATATATTTGTAGAAAATGAAATAAAATAAATTTGAATAAAAATTCTATAATAAATAAATAGTGAATTTCAATTCGTAATCACCTGTTTCGAAGGTTTGTCTCTCGTTTCCAGTTATTATTATCACCATTATCCTTATCATCATTATTATATTCATCCTCATCTTTAATTTCATCATCAACATCCTCATCACTATCATATAGTCACTACTTCAACATCACCATCATCATCACTACCATCACCATCATCATCATCCTCATCATCCTCATTATCGTCGTCGTCGTCGTCGTCGTTGTCGTCGTCGTCGTCGTCGTCACCATCATCAAAATCATCAAAATCACCACCACCACCACCACCATCGTCATTATCATCATTACCATTCCTACTATCACCATTATCATCGTCATAATCATCATCATCATCATTGTTGTCGTCGTCGTCATTGTCATTGTCATCGTCATTACCATTACTATCATCATCATCATCAGCAGCAGCAGCAGTAGCATCACTATCATCATTTCATCATTATCAACAGCAGCATTATCATCATCATCATCAGCATCATCATCATCATCATCATCATCATCATCAAGTTCATTCATCGATTGTACGATATGCTGTTAAATAACTCACAAAATGCTTCCACTCGATGTGATTCCGTGCAATAGAACCACTCATTCATTCCTTTTTCCTTTTTTATGCTTTGATAGAATATTAATATGTATATATAAAATTAAATGTGAGTTGCATGCGCGCGCGCGCAGAAGTTGGTTCAAATGATAATATACTGATCGAGATGCAATATACTAAAATTTTCTCTATCTCTTTAATGTTTTTCAATGTTTCAATTAATTTTTATTAGATTCAAATATAAATATAATCATATATTATTTTTATATATCAAAAATATGAAGAATATTTAAAATAATATTAGATATAATATTTACAATTTTGCTTTTGAATAACGTTTCTAGAATTTTTAAGTTAATATTTCATTCATTTTTCTTTTTCTTTTTTTTTAATAATTGGTTATAAATCTTTGTATTATATTTCTCCATTATATTCAATAGAACAAACAATTAAATAGTATATTATTCTACAAAATAATAAAATATTCTTTTTTTGTAATTTTGTTTTATAATTTTAATCCTAATTAAAATATTGATATTTCATGTATAACAGTATATAATGCAATCATTTCTGTAAAAGGAAATTTTATAGTTTGATTCTAAAATAATGTCATTTATTTCTTTCTAAAAAGTTCATTTTTTAACTAAATTTGAGATTTTCCATGATTTAAATTTATTTTTATTTTTTTAAGTTATATAACATTTTACTAATTTTATTTATATATTTCATTTGTTATTATATTATTGAATTGTTTTATTTAATATTTATGATAAAATCTGATTCTTTTATTTTTAAGCGAATTCATTCTAAATAATTATGAATTGTTCGTTGATTCTTCTTGATTCATTGATTCTCTAATTATAAGTGCTATTAGTAATTATTCAGAAAGTTGATTATGTATTTATACATTTCATATTATATAAATATTTTATAATTTTTTGCAATATGACATAGAAATGACACTTTTATCATATGATTTATTTTTTCAAATTTTTATCAAATGATATTTTTATTAAATTTATATTTAAAAAAAATTATTAGATTTTTTATGTTTATAACAAATTTGTATTGTTGAATATTTTTTCAATTATTATAATTACTGATTTTTTTTATTAATAAAGTATTTAAAATAGTAAATATTGCACCAAGTTATTACTTTTTCGATATTTTCATTTCTTTTTTGATTTCTTGGATACACTGTTTATATTATTAATTGATAAATAATAAAAATAACTTATATTGCAATTATAATTATAATTATTAGTAGAACAATTTGTAATATTTAATTATTTTGAATGTTATTATTTACATTTGAATTATATCAAAATAATGTAATTAAAAATATAAATTACATAATTACATATAATCTGAACTTCTATGAATTGTTGATAGTATCTATTTCAATTATCCAGATTTTGAAACATTGAAGAATATTAAGAGATATAATTAATTCAGATAACGCATAATCTTCGCTAAATCTTGTGATTTTCTAGATCAACATATTTATTATACAATATATTTAAAAGTTGATATTTATGGAGTTATCTAAGTGATACCAGTAATCTGAAGAACCACTTTTTAACATTAATATTTAATGATAATATTTAAATATAAAAAGTTTCAAATAGGCCTGAAATAAATTCATACATGAATTTTTATGTTCATTATAATATTTGTGCGCACAAAAAAATTTTTTTGATATATGTCATTCATATAAAAAAAAATTTGTAACACGTTTTCTTCTTCTTCTTCCTTTTTTTTCCATTTTAACAAAAATGATGATAACTTTAAAAAACGGGAATAAGTGAAATACTTCTTGATTCGAACAATATCACACAAAAGAATTATATTGAAAAAAATTATTTTATGTTGTTGTATAAATGTTTACCATTATTTAAGAAATTATATGATATTGATCGAATACAGAAACAAGTGATTAACAAGTGGTCCAGCGAAGGAATTTTGAGAAGTGTATAAATAAACTACTGCCAGTGTATTAGTTTTTAATCATCCTGTAATGAACTTACGTAATAAGAATCAATCTTTGCTATCTATCAAAATAACATTCTCAGATGACAAAACTTTGATGTTATTTGATCGTCGTCGTCATCATCATCATCATCATCATCATCATCACTATCATCATCACCATCACCACCATCATCATTATCATCATCACCATCATCATCATCATCATCATCATCATCATCATCATCACCATCATCATCATCACCATCACCATCACCATCATCATCATCATCATCATCATCATCATCATCACCATCATCACCACCATCACCACCACCACCATCACCACCACCACCATCATCATCATCATCATCATCATCATCATCATCATCATCATCACCATCATCATCACCATCATCATCACCATCATTACCATCATCACCATCATCACCATCATCACCATCATCACCACCATCACCACCATCATCATTATCACTCTTAATATTCTCATTTAAAACGCAATCTCAATTATTATAATTTACAATAAAGAATTGTTTACAATAAAACTCTAAACTCTAAACTAAACGATTTCACGAACGACATTAATGCTTCTTATGTATTATTTACACACTTGTATCGTAGATCACTTTCAAATCGTTTCGCAAGGCATCTTTTGAGCAATACAATTGGATCTAACCGATTCATAAATTTATGATGAATAATCATTTTGCAATAATTCTAGAGTTAAATTACTTTCATTCTTAAATATCAGTGCATATTTATTAATTATATATAAATAAATTTTATATATTTCAAAATAATTGGACAAATATTCTCATAGTATAGCGAACGATTTGAAATAGATCGACTGGCTATAATAATGAGCTAGAAACGGTTCTAATGTCTGTTAAAAGTTGTCTTAAACTACAGTCTTTATATATCGATTATCATTTACAGTAGGACGTCAATAAATAAACTTCGACGCACTTTCCATCAATGTTCTCTTTACATTATGTATAAACATTCTGGATTTCAATAAAGATATATATATCTATATATGTATTATATATATATATTTATATATATAGTATCAGGCATTCAATAAACTGTATTCCATCCATAAAATATTATTTTTTTTCCTTTTTTTCCCCTCATAATTAATTAATTACGCTCATCTTACAATTGTTGATATATGTTCACTCATCATTATCAACACATTGTTTTCTCTTTAGTGTATCAAACGCATATACATATTAATTAATTTATATGCTTATATGATCGGAAAAGAGCAAGAAATCACTTCTCGATTAAACTTTCATGCCTGTAGTTCTTAGACGACCATTAACAAATACATTCGACCGTAGTCATACATACATAGAGAGACATGTGAGGTAAAACAATCCAATCTAATTGGTGATTATAATAATATTCGTCTTAATCCGTTAAATCAAAGCAAAAAGAAAACAATGATCTTTAATCGGTTAAAAGAAATTGCTTTTTTTTCTTTTTTTTTTACACTTTTAAGAAGAAGCATAAAAAAACTAGGCTGTTCTTTAAATATTTCTGTTTTCAAATTATACTGACACGTACTACTAATTGTAATTATAAAATAATGTAAATATGAATAAATGTTACATATCTAGAAAATTACATAAATTTCTAGATCAAGTTAGAGCCTTCTAAAATATAGCATGCTAAGTAATAATCATTAAATTACATTTATTTCCAAGAGATTTTAAAGCACATACATTATTCTCTTGTTCTTAAAATCTTTCATATAAGCTCCAACTTGAAAATTTACGTTTACATAATATTTGTTACAATTAAAGAACTTTACAATTAGAAGTACACATTCAGAAAGTTTGATTAAACGTTCCAAGACGCATACTTTATCATTTTTTATATAGTTTTATAACTATAATATATATTTATTGATGAAACTTGAAGTACCGAATAATAATTAGTAAAAATGTAAGTAAATCAAATTGAAAATATTCTACAATAATGCAACGCAAAGGAAGTACAATAGTACAATTGTATCTTTCCCAAAAAATTTGTTCATTCTTTTAATGTATATTCATAATTATTAACTTGAAAATAATCTATCAAAGATTAATTTCATTACAGTATACAGTTAATATTATAATTAAACTGTAAATTATTTTTATCTTTTTTTTCTTTTAGAACTTCATTTATGCAAGAGTTTATTGACTACAATTCATACAATATAAATGAAATTATTTTTTTTTTCTTTATTTTCAAATCTGATTTTTGGGAAACAAGTATTCGATTTTTAATTTATAAAACTACTCTTTGCTCCAAATGGTTTAAAGGATTTAATTTTTTAGTAAAAATGCTCTAAAATTTTACAATATTAAAATTTTTAATGTGAATTGGAAAGAAAAAAAAATGGAAAATCGAAAAGATTATCACCTTTCACACGCAATCATCAATGAAATCTTTTTACACACCTATCATACCCAATGTAAAAGACATATCTTACATAAATCGTTCGTGCATTAGAAATGTTTTCTTCTTTTTTTTATTTTCCTTTTGTTTTTTCTCTTCTCTTTATCTTTTAAGGCGAAATATATTAAATTTATAATGTTGGGGTAGCTACGATCAATCTGTACACAATTGTGATTTCACATTTATCCATTTTTATATTCATGATTTCTCACATAAAAAACCGAATATTACACTTATTATTATCGTAAATATATTGTATTGTTTATTAAATAAAGAAAAAATCCCCTAAAGTTTTATCTGGTCGATTAAATATATATACCTATTTATATTTTGTTTGTAATAGAGATTATATAAAATTAAATTGTGTGTTTGTATGAAGGAGAGAGGTAACAAGAAAGCGTAAAGATAAAAAATAAATGCATTAATGCATTATTAAAAAAAATTTCCGAAAATAAGATGTATTTTTTTTGTCTTTTTAAAACTTTGTTTAATTATGAAATAATATCTAATTTTAATATTTTTTCTACATGTGGAACAAAATTTGAAATTTATTTTAAAGTAAGAGACATGTTATGTATTATACAAACAAACACAATAAATAAATAAAATAAAAAAGGAAAAAAAAGAAAGAAATTAAATTAATTCTTCATATTGATTATTCTTTCTTAATTCTTTCTTCTTTATAATCGTGAAAGTCAATTATATCACAATTGTAAAATTTATGACTGGTAATGATTCAATTAAAATGTATCCACTGATGACATTGATGCACATTAATATTATATAATATCATGCATCACTTTATATGAAATATTATTTAATGTCATTTTTTATACCATCAAAAAGATAAAATAAAGATCGAAATTAATGATTTTCATACTCAATGAACAATTTTTGTATATATCTCTTCAATTAATTCTCACTTACACATTTAAACACATGACATGAAACTTTAAAAAAACATAAGCATATACATATATATATTGTGCTACAATAAATCTCGCTCTTCTATATTATATTCACAATCATCATATAATATATATATATATGATAAGGCAGTAATCTTGATCATTTTAAATATCTCCGCTATTAAAAACATGGAGAAACATTGTGTAAAAATTTTATAAGTCAAGTATCGATGAATGGTAGAAAATTATTTTTTTTATAACTATCTGTATATTTTTTTATTTTTTTTATTATATTTCTTAATAAAATAGACATACAGATATTTAGACATTCTAACGACCTTTAATATGACAAGTTTATTTAATAATAAAAAAAAATATCTTTAGTTTTAGATTATTTATAAAAATTATTCAAGGTGAGATATATATATATATATATATATATATATATATATATTTGTATAACATTGAAAATTTTCGGATTATTTTTACTATCGTTAATTGTAGCAAGTTCTTTTCTATATTTTTTGATAATATTGATTTTTCCTGGTATAAACAAATATATCTTTTAACGTAGTTTAACTTTTTTTTTAACTTTTTAATATTTTTTTTAAACATAACTTAATGAATTATTGGATAGTCTGAAAAAATCTATTAATATTAATGCAAAAACTTTCAAATTTCTTAACAATATATGAATTACTATTTACATAAATTGGTATTCTGTATTTAAATTTTCTATTATTTTATATTTATTTACATTTTTTATTATTCTTATATCTCGTTTTGCGTCACAAAAATTATATATATATAAAACTATATATTATTATAAAAACAGAAACAATATTATGTAACGTAAAATAAAGATTTATTGCAGTATGTCACGTATATTAATCAATAAAGAATTTTTAAAGTTTAAATTTCAAGTATCCGATAATTTTAACGTTATGAATTGTAAACATTTCAAATATCTATAATCTGACATTAGTTTTATTTCATTATTTATTGTCGAATAATTTTATATTATAGGTCATTGAAATCGTCTAAGCATCCATTATTTATCTGAAATAAAACAATACAACTAATTTAAAAAAATAAAATTAATTATTAAAAAAAGTGAATATCATATCATACCATATAACTTTTGCAACAAAATTTTTCAATACTTCCGAAAATAGGTATTAAAAATAGTCAAAATTATTGCCCCACCTTGGATGTCATAATTAATCTCAATCTTAACTTTAATCTCAACCTCATCCTCAGCATTATGATATCATTAAAACATATCATCATCATCTTCATCATCATCTCATTATTTTAGTTCATTATATATTATTTCTGAATTGATTAGACCGCATGTTTGAAATGAGATCATACAATTAGTATGCAGGTGCAGATGGATCGAAGCTATCCGTCCTTCTAAAATACGTACTTGAAGAATATTTTGCTAATTCTTGAATAAACCAGAGAAAATGAGAGATAGAGAAAGACAAGGTCAGATATACATACATATCTTTTTTATATCTCATATAACATGTAAGAAGATGAAAAAGAATTCTTTCTGTTTATTTATTGCTACATTCATGGAGCATGCTACTTTAAATTTAATCATTACAATTAATATAATTAAATGAAATTGAATAATAATAATAATAATAATAATAATAATAATAATAATAATAATAGTAGTAGTAGTAGTAGTAGTAGTAATAATAGTAGTAGTAGTAGTAGTAATAGTAGTAGTAGTAGTAGTAGTAGTAGTAGTAGTAGTAGTAGTAGTAGTAGTAGTAGTAGTAGTAGT